TGGTTTGTTAAAAGTTATTGTTACTTTAGAGAAAAAAACTTAAGTTGAAAGTGAAAACAAATCCCGTCCTCATTTGCAAATTACTGAGACAAATACCAGCTTTGTTTCTTAATGAAATACTGCAATTTTTGTAGATTCCTGACTGATGAAGCACCGACTGACTGCAGTTCTGTCAAAAAGTTACATTCTACATGGTAACATTCTGTTTTAGCCACATTACATTATTTTATAAAACAGTCGAGTATTAAATTCACTTAAACTGGTATTATTCAGATTTAATTTAGTTCAAAGCAAAACATCACTTTTTCTAAAGCTTTTTAGTACCTCAGTCTTCTGAGCCTCATGCTCTGGGGAGGTGTCCCTCTGGACAGGCTGTATGGATGCTTTGCTGGCAGTAGTAGTGGAACTTTTTGGTGAATGAAAGGCATTGATAAGGTGACTCAGAGGAACAGTAGCCTGGGGAAAAAAAAATCAGATAATGATTTAACCTTGTTTAAACTATTTAAACATATTTCTATTCCAAACCCTGACTTATAATTGTGTATCTTGTACATTGCCTTTTAACTAAGGACTTCAGCTTCAAACCACAGTGTTAGCTGATACCTCTATTTAAAGGGGGGAAAAAAAAAACAACTTTAAGTGCACACAACAGATTAGAAGCTCATAAAGCTAGAAAGAGGAAAGAAAAAACAAAATGGGCTGTATTTTCATCTATAAAGTAATACTTCTATAGCTTGAAATATCTGTACTTTTCCTGCATTATACGAGTTATTCCCAAAAGCTGCCTTTATGTTTTCTTCCTTGGGAGCTTACTTTAGCAACACACGTAACATACACAGAGACAGTCAAATCTGCAGTTCAGCAGCTTTCAGCTGACTCCACCTCATGAATCAGAACAGAAGCCCAGGTGCACCACTTATCAGGGCTCCTCCTCTAGCACATGACCACATCTCTTGTGAATATATGGTACAAATAATTCCAACACTTCCAAAGTCTCAGCACCCATCACTAAAATGAGCTGAGGTGCAACTGTGGCTCCTGGAATGATATCTGACTGAAGCATAATCAGGTATGCCTGTGAATATTCTTCTACAAGAACTTCCATCTCTGTGTTGGCTAGAGAGACAATGCTGCAAGACATGAAAACTGCCTCATAATTAATTGTCCAAAGTTATAAACAAAGTCTGGGAGTTTACGGTAAAACCATAAAGTGTCCAGAGGTCAGAGCCAACATCCCAACCACTAACTTTCCTCCTGTATTTTCCACTGTGGTGAAATTACACACTGTTAGAAACATACAAATTCTTCCTCTTCGCTACACTAACAAAAGCTATTAACACATTCCCCACATCTGAAAAGAACAATCAAATCCTACTGTGGAATAAGACCATCACATACTAATCCCTCTAACAGAAAACATAAAAGTAAAACCATTGGTTCAGTTCAAAGTCAACAAACCCCACCAGTCCCATCAGACTCACTATCTAATAACAGATGCCTTCCCGACTGCATTCAGACTGTTCTATATAATAAATTATTGACGGGGTTTTTCTCCACTAACGCTTTTATGTCGTTTCTTTTCGGTTTTCACAACACCTGACAATTATCAGCACCGTTTAACTTCAGCTGTTGTAACACACACCACCACCCTTCGCTTCTAGTGCAACCATCTCCGGTTGTTTCGTCATTTCAGAAGGCTTTTACTCTTCACAAGCTTTTACTGTACCTCCCTCTCTCTCCTCCGTTTACTTTTTTCCAGGTGCGTATCCCAGGCCCCCACCCGCTCCTCTCCCCGCTGCTCCCCCGGCACCAAATCCCCCGGAACGTGGCTCCTCCAGCCGAGTCCCGCAGCCCCCGGGCCTTCCGAGCGCCGCCGCCCGGACACGCAACGAGCCCCGCCCGCCGGAGCGCGGCCCCGCACTGGGCCGGGGCCGCCCCGCAGCCCTTCACCTGCGGCTGCACGGTCGAGAAGGAGAACATCGTCCCGGTGGGGACGGCGGGCACCAGCGCCTCTCCCGCCGCCCAGCCGAGCCCGGGAACCGCCGCCGGGAGCAGGAGGCGGCCCGCTGCGGGAAATGTCCGCCCGCGGCCGCGCTGACCGGGCCCGCCCGCCCCGGAAGCGGCGCAGCGGGAACAGCTTCCGGGCCGCCGCTCGAAAGGCGTCCCTCACGGGCCCTGCTCAGCGTGCCTGCCTTCGGCACCCCAAACATTCTGCAGGGAGTTAAGGGTGTACCGCGCGCGTAGAAAAAATTTTACACATTAAAGTATGTATTGTTGCCGAACAAGTTGTGTTTCTTTAAAAAGAGAGCCTGGGCAGCGGCGGGGCGAAATACTAGGGCTTAATTAACAATAAGGGAGATTTAATCCGTGAAACAGATAGCGGCTAACAAGCAAGCTCTATGTCCATGTGTTAGAAGAAAGTTAGGGCTTGACATGCTTTGATGCGCTCAGACCTGGGGGAGGAAATTAGCGTGGCTTGGGAAGAGGGATGTACCACTGATAATGAACATGAAAGAACGCGGAAGTTATGGGCAACCAGTACATCTGGCAGGACTCCTAAGATAAGGAAGAAACTAATAAAACTAACTCAGTAATTGTGCTGAAATTCAGCTTCAAGTGGGTAAAAGGTAATTCTGGTAGGGGCATCCCCGACCACTGACCCACAGACCACTGACCCAAGTAAACCCCTCCCCAGACCCAAAAGAAAGAAACTGAGCATGGGGACTAATGAGCATGAGAAGTGAGAGAATCATTAATCAATAGAAGATAAAATACTAATTAATAAGAGAACTATGTAACCGATGAACACTAATTCCTTTGTTTGCTAAAATGTTTAAATAGTCAAAAGTTTTGATAACTGATGTACATGTTTTGTGGAGCTATCCCCATGTGCCTTCAGCACTGATTAATGTCAACTTTCTAACCTAACAAACTGGTTAAGAGTTTGTTTCCCATTTTTTCAGTGACAACATCAGTAACCCCAATACTGTTACTTGCATTCAATTAACAAGGACCTACATGTTAGGCAGAATTTGGTCTTTAATATTTATCCTTTTTCTATGCCTTGTGCATTTTTTTCCATGTGCTGTCCAATTATTTTGAGGGTTTATAACCATTTTGTTTCTTTCACCTGACCACTGTTCCTCACTGGAAGTGCTATCCCGCACCAGCTTACATTGATCTGGATGAGCACAGCCACAGTGCTGCTTCCCTCTGCCTTCCTGTACATCTCTGTTTTCCACTACCACCCTTGTGATCACAATCACGTGGCTCAGCTCGCTGATTTGGCAGAAACCTCACCTGGCAACAGCAAAAAAACCTAAAAGTTGATGAACCTGGATCCACCCCATGAAGTAGTTTGTCACACAGCTGTGCAATGAGTTGTGGTGCCTTGAGGGAAAGGAGAGAAGGCATAGGCCCTCTTTCCTTGGAGCTCAGGCTGTACCAGAATATGCGCTGCCCGATGCAGTTTCACAGCTGGCATAACCTCCTGTTGGCACAGGATACCAGCACAAGGAGTAATCCCTCCTGCTCTCAGCTGAGCTTCTCTGCTGGCATCAGGGGCAGTGAGACACAGCTAAACTAACATTAAGTGACAAACACAGACGATAGATTGTAGTTAATACCATTACAAAAAGCTAATTGAAAACATTTTCTACATTTGCTCATTAAATTGCATGTACTGCTGGAATCTGTGGGATAGCAGCTCTCCTTCACAAGTACATGGCCTCCCTGTGCAGTATCAGATTATAAGTGATGTGTCTTAGAGCAAAACAAGGGCCTGATGACTAATGTACTGTGTTAATAAAGACCCCCAGTTCTGCACTGACCTCTGCAGCAATAGCTCTTTGCTGCTGCACAGACTGCAACAGAACAATTAAGATCAGTGTGAATGAAACATAAACGGCAATGTATATGTGAAAGCAATATAAAGGTAGTAAGGCAAGAGTTAAAAAAATGACCAAGAACACAACTGAGTGCAGTAAAACTGGTAAACACCTACGGCTGTGCTGTGTAAACAGAACAGGCGGCCTATGCTCTGATAAAGCGCTATCACAGATGGTTTGTCAGAAGGCCTACGCTCTGGGAACAGGGGAATGGCAACAAGGTCAGAGCACACTGTAAATGCCATCCCTGCCCCTGCTGTCACAACAGGGAGGCAGAATGGTAGCCATGGAGATATCCAAAGTAAGGACTCAAATAAAATGCAGAGCAACCTTGCCTAAGATAAATAGCAGCTGAAGTAATCAGGAACTAGAGGGAAGCAACAGAACACATTAATCTAACTCCTGATCACAAAAGACCTGCCCAGAGAGAAGTCTGCCACCACCAACCCAGAGAACACCAGGAGACAAGTAAGGACAGGATGGGTCGAGTTCTCTGACACACAAGCCCTCCTGGTTGTGCCATCTGGACACAGCTTTTGGAGCTATCAAGTATGCAAGTGTGAGAAAATCATAGAATCGTAGAGTATCGTGAATTGGAAGGGACCCAACAGGATTGCTGAGTTTAACTGCTGGCCCAGCGCAGGACACCCCAAGAATCACACCATGTGCCTGAGTAAGTGTTGTGCGAATGCCTCTCGAACTCAGATGTGAGTGAAGCACACGAGAAAATGAGTACGTGGGACCAAATTCAGTTGCTTCTTTCTAAATAAATATTATCTTCCAGTTCTTTAATCTCTCACACCAAGTTCTGTTGAATTGCTACACTTTCAAGCTTCCCATGGAGAGCGGGCAGTCTACCTGCTCATGGCAAGTGGAGTTTCCAAACTGGAAACCGAGATGACAAACCGATGTCATTAGCCGGATGACAGCTCCGGCCCTGGGTCGCTGTTCCCTCCCCCCCGCGGGGCGGGTGCTGCGGGGCCGCTTTCACTCTCCGCGCACAACGCGCGGGTCTCGCGAGAGCGCCCGTGGGGCCGTTGGTGACGGCGCGGGCGGGGCGGGGCGGGGCCGGCGCCGCTTTGAATCGCGGCGGGCTCGGGGCCGGGGCGCGCTATGGGGACGGAGCGGCCCGAGGAGCCGGGGGGGCGACGCCGCCACCACCACAGCCGCCGGCCGAGGCGCGTCGAGGTCCCCCGGCCCCCATCCATCGAGGAGTTCACCATCGTGAAGCCTATCAGCCGCGGCGCCTTCGGGAAGGTGTACCTGGGCCGCAAGGCGGGCCGGCTCTATGCCGTGAAGGTGAGGGGTCGCCCGGGGTCGCGGCGTTGCCGGCTGCGCTCACGAGTAACCCCGCGTGGGAAGGGGGCGTCCCGGCGGGGCAGGAAGGCTCCGGGCCCCCTCAGCACGGGCCTCCCGCCTCTCGGGGGGAGCAGACGCCGTGGGAGCCCCCCCGGCTCTCGGGGAGCTGCTCTCGGGCACTGCCCGGTGCCGGGGTTCGCGCCGTCCGCAGGGCTGTGCTCAGCCCTCATCGCGGCCCCGGGGCTTCGGTCAGGGGGGCTCTGGTAATGACAGCTGCTTTTAGAGGTACCTTAAGAGTCGAAGGAACTGCGCGAAAAGCCCCGCCGAGCGCTTTGCTTCTCCCTTGTGAACAGCTGCCGTAACTGAGCACCCTCAGCCGCAGCTGCCCGAGGGTGAGAGCACCGCCTCTGAGATGCGTGAGGAGAACAAATCATGAAAAACACTGGTGCCGAGTGCGCATTAAAAAAACAAACAAACAAAAACCCTGTCGTGTTTTCTACGTTTATACACAAAGGGCTAAGATCTAAGTTTGTCAGCAGTAAGAACTTTACCAGTGATTTGTGCGAGCCTGACTTTGTGAGTAAAAGGACTATGACAAGCTGCGTAGTACACAAAGAAGAGGAAATGTAAAGCTAGTCATGCAAAATAGATGTTGCTCTTTAGAGCTGTATGTGTCTGTTTACACTATTTTGTTATGAGCATTTTGAGATCAACGCATTTGTGTAAATTCTTTATCATTACTGCAGTGAGGTCTATGACTAGTTCACAACTACAACATTTAACATGTGCTAAATGTTTATTAAGGCCAATAGTTATTAAAAGTGTAATTTTATGCATTCTGTGGATGTCTTGGAATTTTTTTTTTATCATCTTTGATAATAGTGATGATAGCTATGGAAAATAATTTTCTGTGGTTTAGGTGCTGCATATACAGTGGTTCAGTTGTGTTACTTTAGTATCATACTCTACTTTATTGAAAGTATTGTGACCTAAAAGCTTTTGTGGAAGTCCTCTACTCCTACTGCAGAGAGACTTATGGGTTATTCAAACTACTGAATTTAATATATGCTAAATATTCTTACACCTAAGGCCAACATTTACACAGAAAGTATCAAATTTGAGCAGACTCAAGTTTTTACAGTTATGTTGCATAGAGAATGGATAAATTAAACTTGCTTTATTATCACCATATATATCTATGAAAAAGATGGTGTGCATGGGCAAACTTCTAATGTATATGCCATGCTTGCCTAAATACTTGTCAGCTGTGCTATTGTGCATCTTTTGTTCAGGGTTAATATTGGCTGAACTTATCATAGAGTGGAGTAATTCAAAGCAGGAATTGGAGCCTAAATCACAATTAAGCTTGTTATTTCTTTGTGATAAGTTGCATACCTTCGAGGCTTCTTCCCAAAGAAACAAATATTTTTTGTGTGTGACTTAATTTTTTTTAATTTAAAATTTACAATTTTCTTGCTTTTTCTGCGAAGTTTAAGAATTAGAGGCTGGAATAGTTGCAGTCTTGCATTTGAGGATACCGAGATGGGATGGCTTACTGCTGCACTCTGTTTTCAGTTTCTGGTCTTATATCTCAGCTTCTGAAGAAAGACTTGGTCAGCAAGTGCCAATCTAAGTGTTGAACAGTTTCATGGTTCTGAGTTGTGTGCTGTGGGTTAATTCAGTGCAGCTTAATTTCACATGCAGCCTAAACACTTATTTTCCAGTGTATGCAATTGCAGTAAATCTTGGTAGTGTCATTTCCATTCAGGACTGAATTAGGAGAGCAGTGGAAATGGTTGTCTAATAACCTGTTGTTTAAAATTCTCTCTGTATATGAAGTCACAGGTCTGTTTCATATATGCAAGTTTTAAGTATATAGATAAATTAATTTGCTGAAGAACTGCGGGTTGAGCAAATAAAAGAATGTTTGTCTACTTGATTTTGTTTTGTTTTTCAGGTGATGAAAAAAGCAGACATGATCAACAAAAACATGGTTCACCAGGTCCAGGCAGAGAGGGATGCACTGGCTCTCAGTAAAAGTCCTTTCATTGTGCACTTATACTACTCACTTCAGTCAGCTAATAACATCTACTTAGTGAGTAAAAAAATTTCTGTGGTCTTTTATGATTGTCTTGAAAATGGAGTGTGAACTGTAGTGATATCTAGAAGCATATTTTTATGGTAACGAGTGGGTATTCCTTAGTCACTTCTACTTTCTTCTTTCTCAGAATGGTTCAACAAGTAAAATATTTCTCTTCCCCTGATACCTTTTCACCCACATTCCCCTTTTTTACAGGAGAAGCTTTTCTAATAGCTAGTATGTCTTAGAAATATGTAGAGATCTTAGGGAAAACAAGAAACCATTCTGTTCAAGCAGAATCCAAATGACTGAAAGACTCTCCATGGCTCACTTAAAGGAAATCTGTTTTACGTGTTACCTGTGCTCAAAATTCATTATGGTAGTTGGCCTACATGACAAGAGGATGACTGAGTGGCAAAACCAAGTGCCAGTCTACATGGAGCACTGTGGAGCACAGTAGGACTTGTGTATGACGACCTCCACATAAGGTCCTATGGATTCAGGCTATCTGCAAAAGGTCTGGCATAATTTGTCTCGATTGCTGTAAGCACACACAGCCAACAGTTTGATGATACTCTGAGGGGAGGTTGCTATGCACTCCTCCTACAATGCATTTGGAGTGTAAACAAAGGCTTCTTTTTCTGGAATCTCTGAACTGCTTCATGCAGTAGAGGACTTCAGGGTGAAGGACTTGTGAAGGAAATGCTAGTCATGTCTGACTGTGTGTATGTATATATATAAATATATGGTAGAGTATTATATATTGGAATCTAAGTACTGGTGAGATTTCCCAACCAAAACCCCATAAATGCATTCTTATCTTCAAAGAGTGAGTTTTTGAAGCCCTGCTGTCTTTTATCTTGAATATGACCTGAGCCATAATAATGTCTCTGTTTGCATAATGTTTTTTGGATGTGTGTGTTCTTTTTAGACACTGTCTTAAATGCACAGTAGCTATCACTGTATACATTTCTGACAATTTGTACTTATTTTGCAAGGCTCATGTCTGTATTTAGTATTGTGTATAAATACTTGCAAAATCAAATATTGAGATACTTTGATTTGTATAGAACAGGTTGTCAGTGGTCTTTGGCTTCAGGCCTTGAGTTTCACAGGAGTGCTCTGCATTTCATTTTCTATAATATAGAACTCTTTCTGTAGTCAACTCTCAAATAACTACTGTAGTCAACTTTTAAATTAACTTCTGAGAGTAGCCTAGGCAAGTAAAATAAGCAAATGATCTATTAAAAGAAAATGTTTCATGTTCTGTCATTTGAAGCCTTAATTATTTCATCAAACTGAAAAGTATTGTGTGGGTAATCAAGTTTGCACAAGCCAGCTTCTATCAGCTTCTGCTCCTTAAAATAATATTTTTGTATGGGTGAAAGCTATTTTGTATTTTGATACTTGCAAATTCGAAATGTATTTTAAATTTTAAATTTAAAATGGTTTAATGGCAGGTGATGGAGTACCTTATTGGTGGTGATGTCAAATCTCTTCTCCATATTTATGGATATTTTGATGAAGAAATGGCTGTTAAGTATATTTCTGAAGCAGCATTGGCCCTTGACTATCTTCACAGGCATGGGATAATCCACAGGTAAAATTTTTTTTTCCCCTTACAAATAAGTATTTGGTAGTTCGTGGTTTTAATTTCTTCACTCTATCACATAACCACACAGCTACCACAGCTGCCTCATTTGCATGTGTGTGCTGCAGCAATGTCATGAAACAACTCCTAAAATAAAATCTGTCTGTATGTGCTGAGCAGACAAATACACACTGCTCTCCCCTGCCTGCTCTTTCCCAGTCCAGAGGTGTATCAGCAGCTGTGTTAGTTCAGGAAACCTCTGGGTACTGCAAACATGTAACAAAGGGATGCTGACTACCCGAACGCTCCTCCTGTAGTGAGAGTTGTTTTTGCATTCAGCAGTGGTACTGAGAACACACCTGAAAACTGTCACTAGAGGTTTGCTTGTCACTTGTAGGAGCTCCACATTAGTAAGTTATGATAGTGGTACTCAGGAAAAACATTTATTAAATGTGCTGAAACACAAATGTGCAGCTCTTGGTGACATGCACAGAGGTTTTACAAAGCCTGAGATGTTCATACCGCGTTTAGTGCTAGATATGTTTAGTTGTTTTGGCGTATTCCTCTAATTGGAATCTTCTGCTGGGTAAGAGATGTCACTGAGAAACAGCTATAACCGATGTTTTGTATTGAGTGTTTCTGGTCACTTGACTTTCTTAATGTTGCTCAGTGGTCTTTTTGCTGACTTCAACTATATTCGTGTTTTCAGGGATCTGAAGCCAGACAACATGCTCATTTCTAATCAGGGCCATATAAAGTTGACAGACTTTGGGCTTTCCAGAGTTACTCTGAACAGAGGTAAGAGTTGTCTGTATACTTTTGGTTGTATTAGAAAGTATTTTTGGGTCACATTTCTGTATTCTTGAATGTTTGCATCCCTGTAGAGGGCAGCTTTCAATAATAAGTGCAAATTTTGCACAAATATCTCATTTCTAGCAGGCAAGTACCAATAAGCTACGTGCTAGTAAAGGGTCTGCTCTATACATTGCACTTCAGAAGGTAAATAATTTATTCTTTGCAACAAGTTTGTATGAAATATAATCTAGAGCCATTTCTCTTGAGGGGTATGGATTTAGAAGTTTTCTGAAGTTCACAGAGAGAAATCAGTGGGTAAATGAATAACTCTGGCTTTTTCTTGGTGTTTCTCTGACTACTTTTGTCCTTCAGTTTGTGTTTCTCAGTCCTTGTATATATGAATTTCCAATAAGTTAGCTGAGGCATTGCAGACATTAGTGTGAGGGACAGGGGTCCATAACAGAAGATTAAATCAGTGCTTTGACATGCTCCTTTCAAGTAGCAGTAAATATTGAATAGTCAAATGACTGCCTGGCACAGGTGATAGACTTCAGGTCTTTAATGTGAATAGCTGGTTTCTGAACTAGTTTGTAACTCCAACCCCTTGGCCAGATTGTCCAAACTTATGCTGCACAGCACCAGCTCTGGTTTTTTTGAGACAGTTGCTGGCGGGTACATCCTTTTTGAATATTTAAAGGAATGCCAAAATTCAGAGTTGTCTATGGTCTTTCTTCTTCATCGTTTTAAGAATATGAAGGAAAATTCTAAGTATGCTGTATTTTCTATAATGTACTGCTTTAAGTGGCGTTCTGATGGCAGAGATTTTTGTGTCTAATTGAACATGATATGGAATCCATAAGCCTACTTACTGCAAGTGAGCAAAAAAAAAAGGTTCTAAAGTTGAATTTTCACCTATGAAAAATTCTTCTGTAGCTTTTTTGAGATGTCTTTTGGAGAGATGGCAGGCTTTGAATCAAATTTACCATCTTCATCTGTGGGCTGTAGGCTGGAACTGATGCCTAAAAACCAAAGCTGGTATCAAGTTAGAAAATGTAACACTTCCAGCATAGTCTATTGGAAAAGAATTTGGACTTTTACAATTTCTCTATGTATAAACTATAACTTTATGGTGGATTTACAGGAAGAAACAGCTTGTGTTGAGTAAGAATGTATAGGTACATCTTCAGTTGGGTTTGGTGTCTTCTTTTGTGTATTTGTTGTGCATATGACTTTTTTTTTTCCTCTTGATAAAACTTAAGGAAATGTCTTCAACTTTGCCGTTTTTTAATAGCAAAATGAAAACCTGACCTGTTTGGGGTTGTTTTTTTGTCTGTTTGTAGAGATAAATATGATAGATATCCTTACTACACCATCAATGGCAAAGCCAAAACAGGACTATTCGCGTACTCCAGGACAATTGTTGTCTCTTATCAGTTCTCTGGGCTTTGTAAGTAGTTGTCACTGTCTTTGAAGTACTTAATTCTTTTAGTTTACTTACTATCTTAAATTTAATAATCAGCATGATAAGGCTATTTTTGCATCTCTTCTGCCAGGTGGTAGAATGACTTATTATACATTTCTAGTACTTTAAAGTTCTGAAGTGATTACGTTGGTCTATATTTTGAGTTGCTGACTATCAGTTGTGCTTCAAGGTCTGGTAAATGGGCATGGCCAAGCTCCAATGCAAACATCATAATGACTGTGTGAAGTTACATTCTCAGCTCTGGATTGAGTGTTTGTTCAGACTCCATTTATTTTTAACTATGTTTCTTCCTGCTTGTTAGTATTCTCCTGTTGGAATGAAAATGCCAGCGCACAATTCAAGTCAATCATCTGACAGTTTGCATGGAGTGGTTTCTCCCTTACCTATGGTCCAGAAGGAAAATACCCCTCTTTCAACTAAATTATTCAAAACATGTGAGTATACCAAGCCTTGTGCTGAGGGAATACTCTGGCTCTTTTAATTTTATGTTAGTAGTTTGGACCCACTTCATAAAAGGTGTGTTACTATCAGTGTCTACCATTCCTCCAGTGCTTTTCTTCTGACATGTTTTCACCTACACTACTTATGCCAACTTCTGATGGTTTTTCGTGTTTTTTTTTTCAAATCACAACCACTGAATTCAATACCACCACAGAAAGTGTCAGTTCTTTACATACTTTCATTGAAAATTATTTAATATAGCAATGAGTGCTTTCCTTTAAATTGTCTTTTCTTGCTGCTTTCTCATTTCTAACCTGAAATGAGAAAGAAGATGACTATGCTGGTAATATTGCTTTTACGTTCTTGGCAAGTCCCTAATTCAAAAAAGGTCTAAATTGACTATGTGGGAAAGATGACAAGAGAAATTATGTTGTCATGGAAAGCTTTCCATAACTTCCTTGGATGTGAAAGCTTGACATAGTGTGAAGCCGCTCAATTTGTATCAAATTTTATCAACATTTGAATTTTTTTTTCCTTCAAGATCTTGATAATTCTCAATTAACGCCTGTGATGCCAGCAAGAAGTTTGACTCCTACTCTACTTCAGTCAAGAAAGAGGTTTGGTCCTTGCAGTGTTAGTAGTGAGTCACACACACACCTGTCCAGTGTGGAATCAGAATGCTGCAGCAGCCCCAGGCGGGAGAAAGATGTAGAGGTCAGGACTGTTTCATCTTCCCACTAAAAATTAAAGTTAGTTTGTACTTGTGTATGCAAATCTCCTCTACTTACTTACACTTATTTTGAGCATAGAGAAAGGAGCAGGGGTTGTAGTTCTTGTTGAGTAGGATTTTGGATCAAAGTGATACAATTTTTTCTTCAAACAAATATTAGTCCTGTGTAACATAATAGGAAAAGCAGATGTTAGAGCCTGCTGCAAAGCAGTGAAAGGGAAGGCTTCTACTGACCATCACTGGTTTGTGCCCTGCACAGGCGGGCGATGCTGGGAGCAGTGGCTCATTTGGAAGTTGATCTTATCCCTAGAGCTTTATTTGCTCAGCATACAAAATCACTTCTTTAAAACACAGAACTTGGGAAAATAACAAAAAAATACACTTCAAACTTCTACTAGCTGTTAAAACGAAAGAGTTTAAAGTTTTTTATTACTGAAGAGTTTTGTATCAACTAACCTAACACCAGTAATTGTAGCTGATACAAAATACTTTCTCCTATTTTAAACTGTTAATGAAATTCTGTACAAATACAGACCTAAAAGAAAATGCTGCTTTGCTAGGTAGTCTTTTGCCATAATTCTTATTTAGATCATACAGAAAAACTTAGATTTAAAACCATATATATAATTCTTTATGTGTCTGTTTCTCAAGGCCTTGGTTTTATTATTGTGTTATCAAAATATTAGTAATATCAGATTTTCCTTTTGTCATCTCTGAAGTGTAATATGCCACAGGGCAGTATGATGGAGTTCTTTGCTTTGGGCTTTCTTGGAAACTGAAAACTTCTGTAGCTTAACTTCTTAGTGTAAAATGACAAATACAACTTCAATTGCTGTATTTTTTTCATCCTTAGGCATTTAAAAATACTGCATTTTCTACTATATTCTAGCAAGCTTATTTTATGTTCTTAAGAAAAGTCCAATTATCAAGTTATCCTTAATTTGGTTTTGACTTTTTTATTTTTAAATGTTATGTCATGTTTGTCACTAGTAGTGGTTAGAATAAGTAATGCTTGCAAATCTGCATTTCGTTATGGAAGTGAAAATCAAGAATTTCAAAGACACATTTCTATAGTGCTGTAATCCTATTTTTCTTGATTCTTAAAGCTTAATATGCTCATTTGCAGCACAGTGAAGATGAACCTAGTTCTGCAACGTGCAAAACAAATAACAGTGGGTCAGCTCTCCCTTCGAACATTGAGTTAACAAATAGCAAAAGTATTGAAGTTTTAAAGAAAAAAGAACTTGAGTCTGCTGTTTCTCCCATTGTCAGAAATGATTCTGGCTGTAGGCAGAAGTTGGGAAGTGAACATTCGAATATAACAGATACATTTTCTTACTGTGCCTTTCACATCCAGTGTGGTTATGGGAGTATTTCTGAAAAGACTTGTGAAGAAAACGTCTGTGTAAATAAAAAAAAGATAACTGATGAAACAGCAGAAACTTCCGGTCCACAACAGTCATCTTCAAGGCAGAATGAGCCTTTCAAAGAGCAAGAAATTTTTGAAAAGCCAGGTGTTAAAAGAGGCTTTGAATTAGTTGATACCAGTCCTTGTCAGGAACTTAACTATGTTAAAAAAAGCAATGCAGAATATAAGCGTGGCTGTCACATCTCAGAATTTTCAGCAAACAATAGGACGGGTTTGACAACAGACATTCAGTCCTTACTGCTCTGTAATGATGGATGCCCACGTGACACCTGCAAAAGCGAGGAGGAAGTTAAGTGTTCTATTAGCAACCAGCAAACAGAAAGATCACTTACTCCAACTATAGCCAAAAATCTTATGTGTGATCTGGATGCAGACTACAGAAAGGATGATGGAAAGGAGTACATGAACTCAAGTTTTCTAGACACTGACGATGAAAAACCTTTAGGAATCCTCAGTGCAGATTCTGATGTATTTACCGACATGTCTGTTACAGAAAGCCATTTAGAAAAGCAGCTTTTAGATTTGGACAAAAGTGTTAAAGACCTCTCCTTTGAGGAGCCAAAACCTGAAGGTGCGCTGATAACATCACCAAAGTCCCAAGATGCCTCACGAAGTGGAGAGGAAGCACATACAGTCCAGGACTGCAAGCTGTTACATCATGAGAAGGATAATGACCAGAAACACGGGGAAGGAGCTTACCTTAACACAGTATCTCCTCCTTCAGAAAAGATGATGGAAGCACTGAGTCTCTTAAAAAAAAATGCTGTTGTTTTTCGAAGTTATAATAGTCCGATTAATATGTCCAATGTATCTGAGCCGTGTAGCATGGCTTCTTTAGATATAATGGATCTTTCACCTGCTTGTAGTGGCTCTTACCCCACGGCTATCACTCCGTCACAGAAAGGAAGGCCATATCAGACCTATCAGGTAGGTAAGGAGACATGTGGAAACTTCATGCATGCGTTATAACATTAGCAACCTGAAATTATTTCAGTTGTAAATTTAGGGAAAACTCAAGTAGTTTGAGAGAGCCTGTCAACAAAAGTCACTTTGACAGACTTTCTCTTACTGCACTTACATGGCCAAATTTGTAATTTCTGTAAGAGTTTAGTAATAACTATTCATTGGCTTGCCTGTGGCTCAAAATGCGTTGACTGTTGACCTCTTTGAGAAATCCATTGCTGTTACAGTGAACTGATAAAAAAAGCTTGTGCTATTTTTATCTCATTCTACTTTTAGTACAGTGTGGTATTTCCTTTGAGCAGTTACAGGTTTTCTGATGATATGGGAAGTCTTTGATTATTTATTTTTTTTCTTTTTTAATCCTGCACCCCTCCCAAGACAGTTTGTAAATGCTGTTCAGCTGCTAGTAGCTGGCACTCTGCCCACTATTTTCCTTTTTTTGTCTTGGTAAAAGTGATGGTGTAATTATACTGTCAAGTGCCAGTTACAAGCCTATTACAAAGATTGATATAAAGAGTAATAGCTGCTGTGGACTTACACTGGAGGAAGAACTCAGGGATAAGTTTCTTGGAGAATAGGCATTTTAACTTTATGCTTCAAGATTGTTGAGATAAAGCAATGGAAGCACATTTTACGTGTACTTTTCAGGGAATATTTTGTGACATGTTCTTGACTTAAACTTGAGTAACAACTACTATATCCATTACTAAACCTGGAGATGGGAGTTTCTCAGCTGGTTTTGTTTGGCATCTGAAATCTTTGTTCCATCTTTTAAGACACCTCGTCAGGGGGATGCTGGCACACCATATCGGACTCCGAAGAGTGTAAGAAGAGGAGCTGCCCCAGTAGAAGGTGAACGCATCCTAGGGACCCCAGATTACCTGGCACCAGAGCTGCTTTTGACAAAGCCTCATGGTAAGACAAACCAGCCATTTGTCAGTACTCGAAAGGTGACATTTACATTCCTGAGTGTCTCTAGAACGGAAAACCCTTCAAGTAATAAGATACTGAATTTTTCAAAAATAGTTAGTGCTTAGCTTTTGCCATTACCCATTACCTTCTGTGAAGCTATGGTTTTCTGGCTTTGGAACTTCAAATTTTCCCTCACTAAACACTTCCTGTGTTGTTGAGTTGCTTGTAAATGTAGTTTTAATCCTAAATTAATCATGTTACAGAATTATTTTATTTCTGTTTCTAACTTAGATTTAACATTGCCATCTTCCTTTATTGTGGAGTTACTACCTTGAGAAAAAACCTGCATTCCAATGCTTTCAGAGAATCATACGTGATATTTGATGTTTATATTTGTTAGATTTTTTTTTTTGTAATAATTATAATATTCTTACTTCGTTGTCTTTTCATATGCAGGGACTGTGATCTCTGGTGAGTTTTCTATATTCTGTGCAGGAATGAGGTGTTCAGCATAACTGAACAGTCAAAGTATAATTAGATCACAATTTCCAAGAACATTGTTTGGGTGAACAATGTTCTTATATAGAAAGACATGTCCAATATGCACTCCACATAAAAATGTGTGATGCTCCCACACAGATTCAGGAAACATCAGTGTCAGTGTGACTAAGCTATCAGAAATCATACATGTAAGCATATACTTCAGAAGGAAAGTCAGCATTCTTAAAGAAATTGTGGAGGTAAGCCAGAGACACTTCTCCTCGTTCTTAGGTTATGTAGTCAGTCTGATTTACTTTATGGGTGAAGAAGGCTCAGATGCTCAAGACCTCATATTTCTACTTCTTGCTTCAAATCATAGAATATCCTGAGTTGGAAAGGACCCAAAAGGATCACCAAGTCCAACTCCTGGTCCTGCACCGGACACCCCAAGAATCACACCTTGTGCCTGAAAGCGTTGTCCAAACACTTCTTGAACTTTGTCTTGAACTTGGTGCTGTGACCACTTCCCTGGGGAGACTCTTCCAGTGCCCATCCACCCTCTGGGTGAAAAACTTTTTCCTAATATCCCATCTAAACCTCCCCTGACATAACTTCATGCTGTTCCTTGCATCACGTTTAGCAGGGATATGGTGGTAGTAAATCTAATCTTAGTTAAACTTCGTGTAGAAAAAAATCCCTGCTGAAACCTGTTACTACACTGTTCAGAGTTGTGATCTTATTAGACTTTGACTGGAGCTGGGAGTGTTTTAACTGAACATCCAAGTAGTCTAACAAGTGTGAGTGTGATCTCACTGCTGCGATGTGCTTGGCTTGGTGGGCCACTCTTACTGCTGTTACAAGTTGCTAGAAGTGCATTAGTTACTAGTTAAACATTTTGCTTTTCAGCATCTCGAAACTTAACAGTAGTCCTCGTGAAATGGCTCAAAACATTTGTTTTCTGAACTCAGAGGTGTCTTAATGTTTTTTATATGCAAAAAAAATCCAAGAGCAATTAGACTTACTGCCTTTCAAAGTTGATGTTTTACAGCATCTGTTCTGGCATCTGTTCTTTATACAGTGGAGCGGGCATGGCTCAAAGGTGCAGAAGGCTTAGAATGCATGCAGCGGTGCCTGGGACTGCTTTGCTGGGTTGTGTTTGTGTGGATTATTAAAATGAGATTGACAAAAAAACCTCCCTGCAATGTGGAAAACCGAAACTATTTCATAACTAAGAAGAGATAGCTAGGAACTACACATTACCCTAATCAATTCAATTAAATGAAAAGCAATTCCAGCATCTTGTGTGCTGCCTCATCTCTGTAAGTTGTCTTCAAGATATTCACATAAATTTAGGCAAATAAAAACTTATGTTCAATAGTTTGAATTCTTGGAATCTTCTCAAAGAACTGAGAGGAAGATACAGGCTACAACATGGAGCCAGGTCTAGAGCAGTCATTAGGCAGCTGTTTCTTGTCACCAAACAATCTCTTGGAGAAGTCAGCTCCTGGATTCTGACGGGAGTTCATAATTAGATTGTTAATAAGAGTCCCCTAGCTTTTATCAGTAAACCCAGTGTTATCTATAATGAATTAAGAAGCAGAGTGGCGTTAAAAAAACCTTTAATGTATTTTTAATCTGCGTGAATATTAAATACAACTTATTTTGTCTTTTCCTTCATTTTCAAGAAATTTGTAGAATTTAAACACTCTTCAATCTGCCATGGCTAATCTTCAAGTCTTTGCAAGTACTATTTGCGTAAGTGTAATGAGCTGGGTTTCTCTTATCAGGTTCTGCTGTAGACTGGTGGGCCCTCGGAGTTTGTCTGTTTGAGTTTCTAACTGGAATTCCACCTTTTAATGATGAAACACCAGCACAGGTTTTCCAAAATATTTTGAAAAGAGGTAATCTGTTTCAGTAATCAGGGTAACTATGTTTTTCCAATATTTGTTTTATAGTTTGAGTTACCAACTCATCTGCATCTTTGTCTGTAGATATTCCCTGGCCTGAGGGTGAAGAAAAGCTGTCTGATAATGCCCAAAATGCAATAGATATTCTTCTAACAATTGACACTACTAAAAGAGCTGGACTGAAAGGTTAGTATTAAAATTGTGTTCTTTGCAACTAATTGCAAATTTCAAAGCGGTGATGTCCTCCTCCTGAAACTTAGACTAATAAACTTCAATGCCTAATTAGGTTTAGTGCATGTTTAGTGTTTGACATTTGACGTACCAAAGTTCTCTCTTATCTAACTCTAACTTGGAGTTCTTAACCTAAATGATTTGGGGAACCTTGATTAAAAGCCTGTTTTGGCTCCAGTTTGGGAAAGGATCCTCCTACAACAGTTAATTCAAAGAAGTTTTTACTTAGGAATCAGCCTGTCTTTGAATGCATAGAGGAGTTGGACAATATATACTATACAAAGTCTACATATATTTTTCTTTTTCCTCTTTTAGAAGTACTTGAATGTTTGTCATTGTTAACAGTGACTATGTTATATAAAAAAACCTGATAACATGAAGGAAGCTTAGAGTGAGATGTTTTGGAAATAGATGAAGAAATCTTATGAGAGAACTGTGCAAGAAATCACTAGAGAAGGAAATGACTATGGAAATTCTTACTCATAAAGAGATTAAAACGCTAGAAGCTAAAACCAGGCCAGATCAAATTAGGAGAGGCACATGAGTGTAAATGAAGGTCATGATGTCAGCAGAAAATTCTGTGGCTTTAATGTCTCCCAAAAAGCAGTTTGAAGGTGTTATAGTCAAACACAAGTTATTGCCTTTATTCCTGGATTTTGGAGTGAAATCCAATTGCCTGTCAAGGAAAGAAATTTAAACTAAGTCACATAATGGTTTCTTCCAGTCTGAAATTCTTGGAAATTCATTCTTTGTCAAGCTTTATAACTGGATCTGATCTCTTTGTCCAGTTTATAGGCCACTGACGTGAAGTTGGCTGAGTAGTTTTCAGGACAACCATTAAGTTTCTCTCGTCGTACCTAAGTTTCAATTGCTGTCATCTTCTCTCCCCTCCCCAAAACACATGCTCTCCCTTTTTATTGCTGTAGCATGAAGCCTTACTTACTGAGAAACCCCAGTTATGTCATGTCCTACTGCTATGCTTCTATGAGTTCAATCTCTCCAGATAAGCAGCTTTAAAGCAGGTTTTGGTAGACAACACTGATATCTGGTGTTGGTTTGGTTTTTGCTCCTCTCTTCAGTCTTGTGAGCAGAAGTTGAGTGCCAGCTGTGGTACACATGAATATCTTGGGAAGAGACAAAGAAGTTTGGTTTTACCTTCTTGGCCAAAGGCAGCTTCTGGTGCATAAGAACTTTAAGAGCAGAACTACATACAGTTCTGAGGTAGTGGATCTGTGCAATGCCCTGCTGCTTGTGTGGCTGCTGAAGCCATTAGAAGGAGATAAAAGACTCACTCTGCCTTTTGTCTAAAATAAACTTTTAATGTTATGTTGTTGTATTTGTGCAGGAAATGCAGAAATAATAAATGTTAATGTCTTACTGTCTATCAGCTAAAAGCCTGTGGTATGTGCTTAGATGTAACATTTGTAATGAGTGTCTTGGTCAAACTTCCACCTCAAATGTGATGATTTTTTTTTTTCACGTGTCCTATTTCTGCTATTTGCTTTTGACTTTTGTGGTGCAGGTGATAAAAACATGGCTTTGTATCCCAGTTAGATGAAAAGGTGTTTTATTGGACTTAATCAAAGTAGCAAAGTCATTTTGATAAGGGACTGGTATTTCCATGTTATGCAGAATTCATATCAGAACCTGCGTGCCAGAAGGTCACCTTGTGGTCAGAATGGACAGGGCAGGGGAGTTCTCCTTGAGTCAGGAAGTCTGGCAGATTGGTTAGTCATCCCATCTTTGGGCTGGGAAAGTGAAGTCTGGTGGTCTGTGGTAACTTCACCATAAGGGCATTTAGGCTTCTGTGTCTGGTGTTTGGCCAAAGGGGACTGTGTTAAGCAGAGGAGGTAATGAAATCCATGAGATAGCAAAAGAAAGAGGACCTGGAGTGGTGACAGGTGGGAGTGATTCCCACATGTTTACTCAGCACAGAACTTTGGTAAAATTATAAACAGACTTTGAAGTGATGCTTAGAAATTGTCTGGTGCCCCAGCATGAGAAATGTCTCTGGGACATCTCTGATCCACTCTGTGTGGAACAGGTTCCCTGGATAGGGGAAGGCAGCTAGTTGGCAGGACAACAGTTTGATGCCACTGAGGTTGGGGCTAATCAAAGCCCAATTGCAATTTGCACTTATATGAATTTCTAAAAAGGAATATAGAGCAAATCTAGTGACAGTTATGCGTAAGGGAACAAAGTGCCTATGGGGCTTGGCCATGAGGAAGTTTATAATGCTTATGTGAACTTCTGTTCCAGAGCTGAAACATCACCCCCTCTTTCACAGTGTGGACTGGGATAATCTGCAGAATCAAACCATGCCGTTTATACCTCAGCCGGATGATGAAACTGATACCTCTTACTTTGAAGCAAGGAATAATGCTCAGCACCTGACTGTGTCTGGATTTAGCTTGTAGCATCAAGATAAGTGAACATTCTCCATGGTTTTGCACATTTACAGGTTATCTGGTAACACTAGTTTGGTCTTAACTAAGTTTCCTTGCCAAATTTAGTGTGTTTTACATGACCAGTCTTTTTATTATAGTCTCCTTTATTCTAAAGTGAAACTATTGTATGTAACTGGTATCAAGTGCCTTTAGTGGGCTCACTGCACCTTACTAAGAAGCCAGAGCATTGAATGTCTTGGAGCTGGTAACTCTTGACAATGATGGGGCTTTTGCATAGCAATGAGTAATTCCAGTTAGGAGGTGTGATGTTATTTCCCAGCTAAACATAATATGGAAAGGACAAAAATGCATACTAACTGTATCTATTGGCAGTTTGCTGTGATGACAGGCTGGGTTGGAAGCACTCCTTTAACTCTGTTAAATAAATCCTCTGCTCAAATTGTTGCATTGTAACCACTTGGGCTGTACGAAGCTGGACTCAACATACATTTTAGCAGTTACTAGTTTTACCTAGAAAATGCCCAGTGTGTGTGTGCTCACTGGTGTCAGATGTCAGCTAACAGGTGGTTTTGGTTTTTAACAAGTGAAGCAGTATTCATTCTGAAGCTGCTATATACTGAAGACTATTATGTACTGCAAACTCACAGATTGTTCTGCAAACTCACAACGACAGCTTAGATTTTTACTAGAACGTAAGATAGAAGTGTATATTCAGTATTATAAATCTGAATTAGATTAAAGTATACTTATCCCTATCTTTAAATGCAACACAAAACTTGTATCTGCTAGGTTTCAGAGGTTTATTTTTAGATAATCCTGTTTAAATAATCTTCAGTATTTTTGTTGCGTAGGTATCTTTCTCTGCTAACTGAATGAAGATTTTAATTTTTCAGGTTTGTACTTGTTAGATTAAGATCACTGGCGCTAAATAATGATGCCAGCCAAGGACCATGTGCCAGCTGAGCATTTTACTACTGATTTTTGCCAAGTGGCAAAAGTAGTTTCATGCACTGACCCCTTTTGTAGCAGTAGCTAGTTGTCCTTTCATTACCCTGCTTCCTGGAAGACAGGATTTATTGATGCAATTCTGAGCAAACAGTGTCTGCTAGGCTTCCTGCTGTCCCCTCAGGTTGCTGGGAAAAGAATGGGAAAGGTGAAGAAAATGGAAGTTTCCTAGAAAAACCTAAAGAGAAGCGATTCTTAAGAGCTCAAAATGACCAATCCCAGCTCTAGGTATGATAACTCAAACATGTTGTAAAACATACAGTGAGTCTCACTCCTTTTGCTAAGGATTGCAGTTTCAGAAAACTTCTAAATTGTTCAGTCTCTTACCCCTGTTACATGAAAAAGGTGCCAACAAATTAATGCACTACTGAAGCAATATCCATAAACAATGTTCTCTGAATGTGATGAGAAATTCTTTGGTGGTTTCTGCTGTACAGTTGAAATATATAAACTGGGGTAGGAGGGATACCTTAGGTTATGTAATCACTGGTGTTTTATAAAATTTATTCTTCCATTTCTAGTAATCTGATTTAAGAAAGTGAGTCTTACAAGAATGGACTCTGATTACATGTTCAGTAAATAATATAAACTGAACACCACACCAGCTCTTTATCTTCAGTGCTTTACAAATGGTTACACCTGTTCCCATTTTGCAGTATAACATGTTCCCATCAAGGTGGAAAAACTTGTTGCAGTGATATGGTCTTTTAAAGAAAACCTCTAACCCCTTGAAACAGTTCTGAATCAGTCACAAAGGTCAAGTAAGCTTCTGTAAAAACCTTATTCTAAAAGAAAATTGTTAGTTTTCTACCTGTTGATTAATGCAATACAAAAACATAGATTCTGTAAGAACAGTAAATAGACCAACAGACAAATCCAAATATTTAGTATAAAGTTACCATTACAGTGGTGTCCAAAACTTAAATTCTGCACCATCAGCACTGAAGATGTGCAATACCTCGTTCTCTTCAGTATCTTGCATTTATCTTGGTTATAGCAAACATGGAGTTGAGTGTAACATGTTGACTGTTGGGGTTTGTGGTGTGGTTTTGTTCGTGGTTGGTGGTTTTTTAGCTTTGTTGTTCAACATGGAATTCCTTGTCAACTCTTAACTCTTAGTTTTGCCTCACTTGTTGCATCACTTGAAATACTACAGGTAAAAGTGCAAAAAGCTATAATGTGGTAGCTGGAAGAGATTTAAGGTTCATTCTCATTAGTAATTATTTACAGATAATTAAGTAAGCTGGCAAAAGTTTCTGATCCTTAGAAGCTGTGGAACATATCACTTTGCAAGTACTCCAGCTGTTACATGGTGCTTCCTGAAGGCCTAAACTTGATGTGCATGACCTACATATAAACTGTAGCTTCCAGTTTATCTTGGGAGACAGTTTACCTGCCATTAGCACAGGCCTGTCCATCTAAGAACTACTGCAGAGATCAGTGTCACACTTTGTTATACAGAAATAGCAGTCTTGGACAGTTACTCCTACCCCTTACTTGCTGTTGGGCTCCCCTGCACAGTGCAATGTTCGGGGGCCAAGATGCTGAATGCCCTGTGTTATTGAGTTAGGAGATTCCAATTTCAGCATGATCTGGTTTACCAATGGTTACTCTTGCAATGAAATGCATTCTTTTCCTCTCAAAAAAATTTACTTTGCACGTTTTGTGTAAATATATTAAAAAAAAAATGTTGTATTAAATAAAATATTGTTGTTCTTTAAACTGGTATACTTTTGACCCTGCTGGGAAGTGGATTTCACACAAGGAAACTCCATTTCCTACTACCTCAGCAAGGAGAGATTTTGTGTAGGGGAAATAACAAATACTTTCTAGTACAGGTGTGTACGGCCTTCAGTTCATAACTTGCTAACCTGTGTCTGCAGTCTTTAGTAGAAGCTACATTTGTGTACTTAATGGCAGGAGAGCAAAGTCCTAAGCTGGCCTGGAATGCCTTCTGGGACCCTCCTCCTCCTCTGTGGTAACTAGAATGATTCAAAAAAAAGATGGTCATCTCCTCAGCACTTGCTGTGCTGCCACAGGAGCAGAGGAGGAGAAGAAACAAGGCCCTGAGCATGGAACAGCTGCACCATACACACACTTACATCTGGCTCTGTTTTGGTTCTATTATCAACATTTAGTGGGTGGAATGTCTCCAATCTGGTTTTATACAGAGCTAACCTCTGCTTTTTAAATGAAGCTTGACTCACTGCAGGAAACCAGCTTGACATTTGCTTCAGAAGTGCAATTTTGAGCTGGGCGAAGCTGTTTCAGTGCTGTGCAGAACTGCTTTGACTGCCAGCCCTCCTGAGGAGAGCACAGGCTTGAACAATATATACCAGTTCTGAGCTCCAGTGATCTGCTTATGCCACTTCCTCCACAGTAAAGCTGTGTCTCTTTGTACGGGAGAGGTGATTTAAAAAAAAAAAAAACAAACACTCAAGTTTTCCTTACCTTTAATCTGAAATACCAATTAACTAGGAATCTGTTCCAGTCCCAGTGAGTTTGAGATAACCCTAGAGGCTGAGGCCCAGTTCTGAGTTACAAGTAAATTGTTATAAAAGTGATGTTGTTTTGTATTACAACTTTTAAGGTTGAGACCGATTCTTCATGACGCAGCCAGCAGGCTCTTCTGTACAGTCCCAGCATCCAACGTACACCATTTAGTAAACATTAAGAAAGTTCAAGATAAAATACAAAATATTAAGGGATTGATTTATTGAAACATGAATAAATAACAAGGATAGTACAAGCCCACGTTTATTTCAGGGGGAAGTTAATGATTAAGTACCTTTGGGAAAGTTTGTCCCATCTCTAAGAGCTTGATATCTATGTGTAACACGGCTCTGAGCCAGGGAGGCTCTCCAGGGTGCTTTGTCCTGGCAGAAGACAGGACAGGGGGGTTATTTTTTCATGTGACCTTCAAGCTAGACTATCCTTCCTGTATGATTTATATCTTTTGTGGTAAAAAGTCAATCACTCTAGAAAGTTTAAGCTTGGGCACAAGGGCTTCAGGTCACAGCAGCACTTCCCTTCCAGGGTAAGCTTTGTTCAAACCTGAGTTTTCAGGGTATCTCATGCCAAAAACTCATCTCTGGCACACAAACCCATCTAATTGTTACAGCAGTCTTCAAAGAGATTACAACTATTTTATTTAATTTTTAATTCAGCTTTACAGTAAGAAAATCAGAAGAGGGGAAATGTAACTAAAAAAAACCCTGCATGTAACTAAAAAGATTAAAATTTCTCTGGTAAAACAAACATTAAATTCTCTGATTACATTTTTATACAGTATAGCTTGTATGAAAAATGTTTTCCAAACTATAAAAGATTTTCAGGAAGGACAAAAAAACTTTCCTTAAAAATTATCTGTAATATGTAGTCCACGTGGAGAATGAAAGTTCATCAATAATCATGAAGTTTCTGAAGATTCAGAGCTTAACCATGGATTATGTTGTGGTATAATTCTTTATAGCAATTATTAAGTTCTCTGTCAAATCTAATTTTAGTGCATTTGCCTTTTCCAGAGATTTAGACAACTTATATATTAATTTATTTTAAAATCAATTGTAAAGCATGCTTTAGTCAAGCAAACTTGACAGAATTGTAACTCTTATCTGTATATTGGTTAATAAATACTTGGGGGGGGAAATATCAGCACCAAAATTAGCTGAAAAGTCTTGTTTTGAAAGTAAGTAGAAGGATAAGAGAGAAATACCAGAATTGGTATTTTTCAAGATGTGACTTGAGAAAAGTCCACAATGGATTAAATCTTACTTCAATTTAACACAACCTGACAACAGAAAACTTAGAGTGCACTGAGCTTTTTAAAAGCTTAGAGATAGACTTACAGAGCTAGTTTTCATCTCATTTTAAAGCACCTTGTGCCTAAACTATGTATTTCAGTTAAAATAAGCTGTTGTCAACAAGAGTACAATTATCAAAGTTAAAAAGATAAGGTGCAGCCTCCTCTTTACATGGATCCCTTGTACCACACACTGTTTCCAGACTTGTATTTGACAGTCACCTGTTATTAATGGCTCTAACTTTCAGAACATATACAAATTCCCAAATTGCCTTTACAATTTTACAGGATAAGTAAAGGATTCAACTTCATTTATGACCAATTTACGTGGAAATTTGCCCCACACTTGTTTAGCAGCAAAAAATAACCAGTAGATTCCTCAGAGCTATGTTGCATATTTCCAACAGCTTGCAACGTATTGAATTCATACTTTATTAGAGCTTTCACCTGGTATTATGTAACCCTGTGGAAAAACAAGCAGGGAAGTTGGGATTGTAAAATTATTTCTATGTTAAAGTGATAGTTTTACATATTTTTAACTTATTCTTTTACAGAGATGTTATTCTCTTCCTCAGCTGACATCAGCAAGGCCAGTAATTACTGAAGGCCCATCCACAAGCACATTCCAAAATAATTAATGTTCGTATGGTTTTGAGGATGGAATTATTAAATTTATTTGCAACCTAGGAGCTGTGAATCATTCAAGTTTCAATAATATTAGTCCTTAAATGTTTAGCTCAAAGGTAGTACAAATTATTACTGTAACATAAGGAATATCATCCCAGATTCTGAGATTCTATGAGAATTCAGAATTCCTTTGCTTTCCAGGGCCATCTTCTCCTAGAAGTCCTTATGCAAAGCCATGAATTCTCAGTTCAGTTTTCTAGAAGAGGAACCAAATAGTTTAATGTACCTTCACATAGGAGACAATTTTTCATTTGTCTAAACAAACAAATTAACTGAAGTTACATGTAAATTATTTCTAATCAGATAAAACATTACATGGCTTCAAGTACAAAATTCACTAAGAACTCTGAACTGAAGATGGAATTCCTCAGAACAGTCCCTGACCACATCAGTCAGTGGCGTGCTGGCTCACA